GCTCCCGCCGAGGGTTCGGATCCCACATACAGACCGGCCGCTCACTGGCTGAGTGAGGTACGGGAAGCAACACCAAGGGTTGCGATCCCGTTGCCGGTTCCAGTCCGGTACGGGCGTGACACTGAGGGTTGCGATCCGTTGCCGGTCACAAAAAAAAAAAAGAAAAAGAAAATGTTGTACCCCACATGTATGTATAAAGTAAATAAATAAATATAAAATTCAAAATCAGTCTCAGTAGGCTAAAATCAAGGTGTTGACAGGCCTGTTCCTTCTGGAGGCTCTGGGGAGAATACTGTTTCCTTACTTTGTCCAGCTTCTAGAAGCCGCTTGCATTCCTTGGCTGTAGCCCTGCATCACATTGCCTTCTCTATCTCTGTTCCTCCTACCTCCCTCTTTTAAGGACCTTTTGAATACCTTGGGACCATTGGGTAATCCAGGACAGTTTCCCATCCCAACACCCTTAACTTAATCACATCTGCTAAGTCCTTTCTGCCATGTAAGGTAACATGTTCACAGGTTCCAGGGATTAGGATGTAGATATCTTTTTTTTGGGGGGGGGGTAGTGTTATTATTCAGCCTGCTGCAATTGTCTCCTATATTTCCTTCTCTGCTGTACAGCTGGGTTTCCACCTCATCTTGCTCATGTCTGCTATGTTCCACTCTTCATTTACATTGTTTAGAAGGAAAAACGATTTTTGACAATGGAATATTAAATTCTAGAAATGGGGTTGCATAAGGAAAAATACATATAATTTGTCTCTTGAATGTTTTTGTTCTGAATTTAAAATTTGATATAATTTTACCTACTTTAAGTAAGCATTAAAGCTCATTCTTCAAGCAGTATGCTGCTCTTGTAAAAGACTTTTAAAACAGTATTTTAAGTACTGCTTCAAAATAGAGTTCACATTTTTGCCACTTTGTTAAAAGTTAAATATGAAGTGTTTTTATTTTTGTTTCCTGAATGAAATTGCTGCTTCTTCTCAATCTAGAACTAATACCTTTGACAGTACTTTTCACCAGGGAGGGAAGGAATTAGTATGCCTCCTAGACTTAGCTTACTTGCTACTAGGAGAATCTGGTTTAACAAGTTTTATTGCTCAGTGGTGTCATTCATGGGAGAATGAACAGACAGCTGCTTCTGTATCCTGTGCCATGTGGCAGCAGCGGCAAACCCCCTTCAAATCCGAATGTTCTTGCTGCGTGATTTCAGCTGAAAATGTTTTTAGTGAAGTATTATTTAGTCCTTAGCAATTTACTTATTTTTAAAATTTATTTATTATTATTATTATTTTGCATTCTAAGATGTTGCAGAGCAGTTGGGGGGAGGGGAAGAGGGGAATAGGGTGGGAGGAGAAGGGAAGGGGGTGTGGTTGAGGCCCATGACACCCCCCTCATTCTGGCAGTGGAGCCCAGGGGGCTTCCCACAGTGGCTCAGTAGTGGCAGGGCTGGAGGCAGACTTTGGGACTGTGTAGCTGAGGCTCTCAGCCACCCCCACCCTGGGAGTGTGAGGCACTTCTGGTGGCAGCTCGTTGGTCGGTCATAACTGGGCTGGATGTAGATGTCAGGGGGCATGGCTGAGGCCCTTGGCCCCCTGCTGCCCTGGCTTGGGAGCCTGGGGAACTTCCAGTGGTGGCCTGGTGGTCATCACTGGGTTGGATGCAGATGTTGGGGTGGTGTGGTTGAGACCCTCGACATCCCCCCTACCCCAGCTTGGGAGCCTGGAGTGCTTCTGGTGGTGACTCAGTTGTCACTGGGCTGGATGCAGACATGGGGGCGGGCATAGCTTACACCCTCAGTGCCCTCCACCTCAGCTTGGGAGCCCAGGGTCCTTCTGACAGCAGCTCAGTGGTTGTTGCTGGGCTGGATGTGGATGTTGGGGAGTGTGGCTGAGGTCCTCGGTCCCCCACCACCCTGGCTTGGGAGCCTGGGGTGCTTCCAGCAGTGGCTTGGTGGTTATCAGTGGGCTAGATGTGGACATTGGAGGTGTGTGGCTGAGGCCCTTTGCCCCTCACTGCCCCAGTTGGGAGCCTGGGCTACTTCCAACAGCAGCCTGATTGTTGTCACTGGGCTGGATGCAGACATCTGGGGGGCGTGGCCGAGGCCCTCAGACCTCCCTTCTCCCCCCTCCCTGGCTTGGGAGCCTGAGGGACTTCTGGTCCTTCTAGGTTTTATGGTGTTCTTTGGTGGTGTTAGACCTTTACTGGTTAATATCAGAACTTTGTTTCTGATCTGTGGGTTTTTTGTTTTTTTCTTTCAGTTCTGTGTTGGATTATTCACTATTCCCACCACTTAAACTCTGCACTTAGCTAATTTGTTGTCCTTTGCTTACTTCTAAAATGGAGGAACTTCCTGTGGGGACCAGCACTTGAGCCCTGTGGTTGAGCTAAATTGGAGCTTTGCTGCTGATTCTCTGAGGAAAGCTTTTTGTGTAGTTCATGTTTTAATTGTTGGCCTTGTAAGCACTTATGGGTCTTGTGAGGTTGGGTACACCTGGGTTGTGTGGAAACTCTGGTCTTGACCTGAGTCTTTTCAGCAAACTGTACCCCTGCAGTTCTGTATTCTTGACCAGCCTCCACTGAGTGGTCCTGTGCTGATTGGGGGGCAGATCAGCCATCCGTGCTGTGCCCCAGTGTTTCCCCTGGTGGGCCCATCACCCCCTCTGCCTGCACTCGAAACACTTCCCATGGACATGCCATGTGCCAGTGACTCACCAGCCTCTGAGTGGCTCCTTTATTCAGTTGTCTGTGGCTCCTTGCTCCTATGTGGGTCCATGGGAACCCTGTTTGTGGTCTTGCTGGCCTGGGGGCCACCAAGGCCCTCTTCTCCCCTGCCGCCTCCAAGCAACTTCATGCAAAGGGCACAGCTGCACTTTTTGCCAGCTCTTGCTCTGTGTGATTACCAGTGCTAGCCTTGAAGTGGTTGAGGCTCTAAATGGATGGAGTGGTACTTTCTTTCTCTCATCGCGGCTTCTCCTGCCTTCATGCACTTCGTAGGTCTCTCCTTCTCTTCTGAGCTCTAGCAGCCCCAGCTTGGCAGTCGTTGCTTTTTAATAGTTGCAATTTGATTGATTGTGGGAGAGGGTGATGCTGGGCACCATCTATTCTGCCATCTTGATCGGAAGTCTAGCAATTTATTTTTATTTGAGATAGAAATACTGGTGATTTTTAAAAAATCACCAAAGCAGACTAGTGATTCAAAAATTTCTGTAGCAACTACTTTTACCTGTTCTATGTGTGCATTAATCAAACATTAAAACCCAAAGAAGTCAATCAGAAGTGAAAAAGAAAGTTTGACATGGTATGACAGTTGAATATATTTATTTGTGTTGTAGCTCTTTAGTTTCCTTATTAAAATACCACTTTTTCTAATTCTAAGTGAGCCTTTCATAATGCCCTTTGGGGTGTGCCTTTCCTGAAATTGTTGTATTTCATGAGATGAGCAGTTAGAAAAAGTGAATCACACAAATTGACTGCAGGAGTTCATATATTGTACAAACTCATTTTTTTTTTTAACTACCACGTGTCAATAAAAACTCTCTGTTTTTAAACTCTGCAAAGGCAACCATAGGCCACCCCCAACCATGTAAGCATACCAAGACAAAGGAACTGAGTGGCATCAGGTATCACCAGCAGAATGATAGCTGCATGCTCTTGTTTAAAACCTGCTTTGTGGGTGTTCTCACTTAGCCTGACCTTGAGAGTGAACAAGTCTCAGTGTGAGCTGTGGGGCTGAGAGGATACCAGGCGGTAGGGAGGGTTGAGGGGAAGGAATCAGTGGCAACCTGTATCATGCAACTTCCTGAGCCCTGGCAGTGCTGGCCTGGTCCAAGCACGTATGTCTGTTTTCACTGATTAAAGGCTTCCTCACAGACCAAGGAAGTAAAACTCATCTTTGCACTATCAGAATCAACTAATACTGAATAACAGTTGAGCTTGATTATAGTGGACAGAAAATGGACCTCTCTCTGGGGCTCTTATGCTGTTATTGTTAATTTTTGTAAAAAGGCAAGAAATGAGTAGACTTGGACATTCAGATTTTACTCTCTTTACTTACTATACTTATAAATGTCTGCCAGAACATATAGATGTTTTTGGAAAGCAGCCTTTTATGGGGGGAGTGTGGACTAGATGAGGCTAAGAAAAGCTTTATTTTATTAAGAGAGAGAGTTTTTATTTTATGGCATGATGAGAAATCCATCCATGCTCCTGTTATGTTCTGTTTGGGAGAGCTCATTTTTAAATGACTTGGTACCTTTAAGCATAATTCTTTATGTACATTATTTTAGTTATTTAATAGCTGTGTTACCAACCACCTCAAAACTTAGTGACTTAAGACAGCAAGCCTTTTATCATATTATCATAGACCTGGCTTCTAAATTCCACACTTGCCTTTTATTTATTTTTATTTAAAAATTTTTTATCCTCATGAAAGATTTGTTACAGGCAAAGGATATACAACACCAAGAAGACTCAGCAACTCCAGCCTCTGTAGCATTGAAGAAGAGCACCGAGTGGTATATGAAATGGTGCAACGGATTCTCTTGTCAACGCGAGGTTATGTCAATTTTGTGCATGAAGTATTTCGCCAGGTTAGTGTGTTGGTGTTATAAATTCATGAAATTGAAGAGATTTTTGTTCTTGTTCTTTTTCTGATAATACTCTAAGAGATACTATTGATGAGTTGGGGTAAATTAAAGAACTGAATAAATAGTGATCCTTTTATTCCCCCTTTTAATTTGTCATGTGGACTGTTGTGATTTTTTATATGTGATTTTTTAAATTTGGTTTTTGAAAAAAATTTCTATGTGAGGAGGGAAAATTCTATATTTCCTCTACATGAGAAGGGATAATTCAGAGCAGAATAATCTGAAAAATATCTTCATGTTTTCATAACAAACTTAACCCGAAAGATGAGAAGAAAGTCATTCCTGAATACCTGGCAACAAATGAATATAGGAAAGAAGAGGCTGGTATTGTTCACAGGGCCTTGGGGGGCTCTCTGATGAGCTGGAGGTTTCTGTAAAAGTTGTGCTTTCCCTGCCAAAGCATGTGGCATGTACATATGATGGAAGTATTTATGGCACAAAAGAAAAAATTCAAGTGGTGAAGGGAATAAAAGGAAAGAAAGGAGCTGAGGCCACAACATTGAGATCACAAACCTATGGTGGAAACTGGTAGCTGAAAAGGTGCTGGGAAGAGCAGAGTGTGACAAGAAAAGAGGTGCAAGCACAGGAAGGAGACAGAAGAGATCAGAAGCTGAGCCTACTGTTAGCAGCTGTGAGCGACATCAGAGATTTGCAGCAGTGGCTGATGCTAGCCCCCTCAGGAGACAGTTTTGATCATTACATCTGGGGAGGGGGTGCCACTGGCATCTAGTGGGTAGTAACCAGGGATGTTGTTAAATATCCTATAACACATAGAACAGTCCCGACCCCCAGCCCCACCACAACAAAGAACTATCCAGCCCAACATGGCAGTAATGCTGCTGTGGAGCAACTCTCAGCTCTAGTCCTCTGAGTGAGAAGGCAGAACCCACGATGCAGTTGAACAGGCCACCGCTCTCTGGCGTGGGGTGTAGCCCATGGACACCTACGTGTTGGTGCTGGTGCTCTTGTTGTGGGTATGTGTGTATGATGGAGGAATAGTTGTTTGGTCCATATACCTGAATAGAGGTGAGGCCCTTGAATGGCCAGTTATTGATGGGAGGAGAGGAAGAATCCTCTGCACATATGAACAATGCCTATGTACCATAGAGACTTTATATGGAGAGGCAGGATTTCAAGACAGAGAATGATTAACTTTTCAGTTCTGAGACTTTCATTAAAGAAAATCATCCAAGAATGAATAGTCCCTGCATAATCTACAGCAATGTAGAGGTTTTACTGCATTTTCATTTTAATCAATAGAAAGAAAATTTTTATGTTAGAAAATGTTTGTTTAGTCTGCAGTTGAAATTCCACTTATAAAATATTTTTCTGATTCTGTGGCCTAGCACTTCCTTGGTTCTTCTCATTCCCTGTTTGATTTCGTGGCCCCTCGTTTTGTTTCACCCCAGATTATAGGTGTTGGCCAGTGCTCCAGCTCAAGCCTCTTCTGTAACTCTACACTTGCCTCTGTGGGGCCTTCGCCACTTGTCCAGTGCCCCCCGGCTGTGGCACATGATTCCCAACCAAGCCTTTTGTCTAGACCTGGCTTCTAAATTCCACACTTGCCTTTTATTTATTTTTATTTAAAAATTTTTTATCCTCATGAAAGATTTGTTACAGGCAAAGGATATACAACACCAAGAGCAAGAAAGCATAAAGCAACATTATGGGGGCCTGGAACACCTGGCCACAGCTTCCAGAGTCCTCTCAGTTGCACAGAATATGTTCTGTCTCAGGATCATGATTCACCAACAGGAGAGCAAGATCTCTGTGTCAGGGAAGATAAGGCACAAGTCTACTGAGAGATCTTTTGTACATCACTAGTCACATAGCCAAAATCAAACTCAGCGACCAGGTAAACAGGTGCAGACTCTCAGTCTCTACATTTTCTCCAAACAACGTAGATAAGCTGGCACTGCATGCCTCCCATACTTGCCTTTTAAAATGCCCACCTGCCATCTCATCTGATGTTCCTGTGGGATCTTAATGATAAGACAGCCAGATCCTAGCTCAGTTTCTTCCCTAAGATCAGCTTTTCCTCCTGACTTGACTGTTTCTTCAGAGACCTTTGTTCATGTCTGCATCTTAATTTTAGTTCTCTTGGGATCCCCGTCCCTCTCCCCATGCCCAGTCACTGGGCACATTATGCAGGAGACTGCCTCACTCCCTTTCTCTCCTTTTCCTTTGACTGTGGTGAGCAGCCTTGTCCTCAGAGCTGTTTGGAGCCCTCCTCCTTCCGCATCATCTCTTTTTAATTTATATTGCACACATCATGCTGCTAAAACATTTTTCTTTTATCATCATAGTCCACAATCTTAAAATCTACCCTGCTCTCTACATTAATATTGTCATACTAATGTTCCTGTTGAACGTGTGAAGATGCATGATAATTATTCAATTTGAATACAAATAGGAACCTAGAGTGCATATAATCTATAGCAAGGGTCAGCACACTTTTTACAGTAAAGGGCCAAATAGTAAATATTTTAGGCTGCATGGATCATATGGTCTCTGTCACAGCTACTCAACTCTGCCATTGCAGCAAGAAAGCAGCCACAGACAATATGAAACAAGCATGGCTTTGTTCCAATAAAACTTTATTTACAAAAATCAGGTGGCAGGCTTGATTTGAATTGTGGGTCATAGTCAGCTGACTCTGATCTATAGTAATGTTTTTAAACCATTGCATGAAAATGCTTCATATTAGACTAGATATCATTGGCAAAGCTTTAAAATTTTGTATAAGTTCTTTGTTGATGTGATTTTACCTTTATTGTGTAATTATTAATTTGTCATACACATAGTTCTGTCTGCATCCATTATTAGCATTCCACCTTGGTAATAGTGTGCACTAATTTCTAAATTTAATCTAAACCCTAAACCCAATCTGAATTCAATGTTGAAGTAGCTTGGGTCATCAAGGTGACTGCGGACTACTTGTGATTGAAGTTATGAAACATCTTTGTGTCATGACATTCACAACATTTTCTTTACATTTTATAATTATTCTTAATGAAATCTAATTAGAAAGAGGTGTGAAATTTAAAATACAAGTTTTATGTGTGTGTTGTTAAATTACTGAAATGGAGACATTTGGAAAAAGAGGTGTGGGTTTTAACATTGTATTTTATTGCCCTCTCTTGCTCAGTGATGAATTTTTCTTTTATGGAAGACAAGATGTGGCTTTTTTCTTAATAATTTCTTTTTAAATTTTAAATGAAGTTATTCAGAGACTATTTTAGCCTAAAGGTTATTGACGTTTAAAATGGATATTCAAGAAGTATACATTCTCAGTTGGAGATAAGATGCATGCGTATGTTACGTGGCTTTTTTCTTAATAATTTCTTTTTAAATTTTAAATGAAGTTATTCAGAGACTATTTTAGCCTAAAGGTTATTGACATTTAAAATGGATATTCAAGAAGTATACATTCTCAGTTGGAGATAAGATGCATGCGTATGTTATAAAGAGCAGGGTAAGACGATAGAAGATCAGATGTCCACGTGTGACATGGGAATCAAGGCTGACGTTGGCCAATGGGACAAGGAGGCTCATGGCTGGGGATAAAGGACCAGGTGGAGCACATCTCCTTGGACTGGATGGTTCAGCGAGTTGAAGGTAGTGGAAATAAACAGTAACCAAAGGAAGACAGGATTCAGCCAGGTTCAGGGCAGCTTCCATCTGCTGCTGAATGGCCAGGCAGTGGTAGAGTGCTTACTGTAGGGCAGTTCTAGTCACTGGGTCACTCCACTGGAAACTTGTCTTTTAACTGGCATTTTTCAGACTACTTGTTGTGACCCATTCGTAGGTCATGAAATCAACTTAGTGAGTCAAAACCAGTATTTTTTTTTTTTATATAAATAATGAAACAGAATAGAACAGACCAAAAGATTTCACAGTGCAGTTCATGTTGTAAGGATTAATCTTTCTTTTTGAAACTTCTGATTTATTTGTATATATATTATATATACAAATGCATATATCCTTCCATAACATGTCTTACTTAGGTTATGATCTAAAAAGTTTGGGTATTTTATTTTTTGTTTTTTGGATTTTGACAATTTCATTTCTTTTGAGTATAAGTCACTTTTTGCAAGCTAGAAAAGAGAATCAGCCTAAGGTAATGTAGTCTTCTAGGGATCTAGGCTGAGTCTTGTAATCTTTAGCAGAATGACATCATAATACAAGGTGCTAGCATAGGATTATAAACTCTAAATAATGACCACTATCTACATTCTTCACTAGGAAACAGCTGAAAGTTCAGTCTTTAAGGGCATGATACACAGAACATCTTGGTCTACATAGGACAGAATGACCCAAATTATACGCTGGCCAACCTACTGGTGAGCCAAATCAGAGTTGGCCAAAAATTGATAAACAGAAAATGTGTTTACATTTTGAAAAAACTGTCCTGTGGTTTTAAAAATTCCTGGTTGCTGTCAAAAGGAGAGTAAAAAATATTACAGGTGGACCCATACTGATATTTGATTTTACCAAGGTCTACTAGAACATAAAGGTAGAGATAAGTGTAGAAGATAAGATACTGAGATAATTTAAAACTAAATTACTTAGTAATGAGAAATTGGGCATAGTGCATTCTTCCATTTGCTACAAGAACAAATTGACAATGAAGACTGCTTAAAAGAAATGCCGAACTCCTGAGAGGGTGGTGGCAGCAGCATGTTCCACCACAGAATGACAGTTAACATTGCTGTTCTTCCATGATGCATATCCACATGCAAAAACTTGTCAGGAGCTTTTGTCAGGGCCCGAGGATGAACAGTAGATCCTGTCCTAATGAGCTAATTGCAAGCTCAGTTAACATCTTTGGGAAAGACCCATAAAGTCTGGCCACTGTTTCGTTAAACATCTGTAAGCTGGAGAATTCCTTAGCCTTTAGCCACAGTTTCTGCTCAAGAAACTGTAATGTTTGTGTGGTATAT